CTTTGAAAATAATAAAAACTCTGATTTTATTATTTTATTAGATTTTATAAAATAATCGAATTGGGTTGATAATAATAATAATAGCAATAAGCGCAGAGCCCAAACGGTTAGTGCTGAAATTTTAAATTTAGTACACAGTACATAGAGTACGCCATGATAATGCTCATTAAGAAGGGATTTTTGGAAATTTTCCCCGCGATGGAGAGGGTTAAAGATTAACCTAAGAACTGTGCTTTTACTGTATTATTTTAGTTGCGATTTTTTGCGTTTTTGCGAAGAAGCGAACATATTTTTAAACAGCCGTCTAAAAATTCTCTTATTAGTCTTGGAACAGGGTGAACCTAATTCTTGCACCCGGCGGAAACGGGTGAGATCGGCTATAATCTAATAATTTTGATGTTTGCTATCATTACTTTTTTACGAGCAACGGCCGGCTCATCTGCTAGTATTTATATACAAGATACTCAAGACGTATGTCGATATTTATACAAGATCTTATATAACTTTTCAAAAGTGTAGTAAATAACATATATAATTCATCAGAACTATATAAAGTAATACTCCGATATATTTTATTATCGTTATATAAATAGAAATTTTACATAATGCCTTTAAAATCATCAATAGCTCGTTGGTGTCTAATTTAAACTTTCATTACGTCTGACTCATTCTAGATATGGCATATGCACTCCCCTATTTCTCCCTTTACTTACAATCTTCAAAATTTAATAGCAACAATGCACTACATGTAGACATAATCCTGTCAAGTTTCAAAATACCAGCCAATTTCCCGTAGAAAATCCTTCGAGAAGGATTCAAAACTTCGGTTGGTTCTTGGCTGAATGGATAAAACTACTGAATACCAAGTAGTCGACCGCTGTTTTTTTAGCTGTTTCTTTCCTGTGGCCAGTTTTATCAAGCCCATTATGGATTCGGCCAGGCCCACAATGGGGCGACCGGGTGGTGAGAGTCGGGGTTCGACGTATCCCATTGGATTATTCCGAATAATTCCTAGAGAATTTCTACCCTTTCGGATTGGATCCCGGGTATTCCGGGTAGGTCGCTATTTTGACCTCTCGACCATCCGGCCGTCCAGCTGATCACGTTGAGTTTTTAGAGTTTTGTTCAGATTGATAACGCCCAAATAAAGTCCAGTTTTCCATTGAAAGTCCTCTCGGAAGTCATCCCCTCGGCAGAACGCCCATGCGTGTCGTTGCCTTAATATGTGCAAAACAAGTTCTGCTTTTCGAAGATATATCGACATAAATACTGGAATAATATATTCGTTAATAGATTAAAATCTTTTGCTCTCGTTAAAATTTCATGTACACGATGTTTTAGAAAATCACATTACCTTTTAACACGTTTAATAATTGAACACTATCTCAGACTAAGATGTTTTTATTGGGCAAAATTGAGAATGACCAATGAATATTGTGTATACGGTGCTGAATAAAGTGAATTTAGAAACGAGAGATACACTTTTTATAGTTTTTAAACTTTCCTATGCATTTATTCAGTTAAAAAATTATAATAATTGCGAGGCCCGGAAATGGTTCATAATTAAAAGAAAAGTATATTTTAATAAACTAAA